TGGGTCACCCTAATCACGCCTCACTCCGTCACATTCTTCGTAGTTTTTCTTTCACTTGTAATAAGGTCGATGACCATACTTGTCATGCTTGCCGTGTTGGCAAACACGTGCGTCTACCTTTTAGCAACTCTACCACTATTGTGGCTTATCCGTTTTAGTTGATACATTGCGATGTTTGGACATCGCTCATTGCAAACAACTCCGGCTATCTTTATTATCTTGTCATCTTAGACGATTTTACGCACTATGTGTGGACTTTTCCCCTTCGGCAAAAATCAGATGTTTTTTCAACACTCACATCTTTTTACTCATTTGTCTCTACACACTTTGGTTGACCCATTCTTGCATTTCAAACAGACAATGGGAAAGAGTTCGATAGCCTTGCCGTCCGCAACCTCCTCACCACACATGGTACTGTTTTTCGTCTAACATGTCCTTACACCTCACAACAAAATGGGCGTGCAGAGCATGTACTCCGCACTCTCAATGATTGCGTCCGTACCCTCTTATTCCATGTCAACATCCCGCCTCGCTTCTGGCCCGATGCTCTCGCCACCGCGACTCTCCTTGTCAACATTCGGCCCTGTCGTGTTCGCTGGAACTATACGCCGCATCAGTTGCTCTATGGGACTCCTCCCTCATACGATGATCTTCGCATCTTTGGCTGCCTCTGCTACCCTAGCACCGCCTCCACTGCCCCCCATGTGCCTGCTCTCTCGGTCCCTCTATGGACTGAAGCAGGCGCCGAGAGCTTGGTACCAGCGCATCGCCACCTTTCTTCAGCAGTTAGGCTTCCGAGCTATTCGCTCCGACGCCTCCCTCTTCGTGTACCATCATGGATCGGCGATTGCTTATCTCCTACTCTACGTCGACGACATTATCTTCACGGCCTCCACAGTGCAGCTTCTCGACCAGCTCACTGCTCGTCTCAGTACCGAGTTCGCTTTGAAGGATTTGGGGCCGCTTCATTACTTCCTCGGCATTGAGGTCATTCGGCGTTCCGACGGGTTTTTCCTTCATCAACAAAAGTACGCCCATGAGCTTCTTGAGCGCGCCGGCATGCTTAACTGCAAGCCCGCTGCCACTCCTGTTGACACGAAGGCCAAGCTCTCAGCGCTTGAGGGTTCTCCAGCACTGGATGGTCCGTTTTATCGGTCTATTGTCGGCGCCCTTCAGTACTTAACCCTCACACGACCGGATTTGCAGTACACCGTTCAGCGGGTGTGTCTCCACATGCATGCACCCGTGACAGTCATTGGAACCTGGTGAAGCGGATTCTACGCTACATCCGCGACACTATGTCCCTTGGGCTCACCCTGACATCATCCTCCTCCACCGACATGGTCGCCTACTCTGATGCTGACTGGGCTGGCTGTCCGGACACTCGTCGTTCCACCTTCGGCTACTGCATTTACTTGGGGCCCTCCCTCGTCTCCTGGTCGTCGAAACGACAGCCTACGGTATCCCGTTCCAGTGCTGAGGCAGAGTACCGGGCTGTTGCCAACGCCGTTGCCGAGTGTTCCTGGTTGCGGCAACTTCTTCATGAGCTTAATCATGACGTTTCACGTGCCACTCTTGTGTACTGTGACAACGTCTCTGCTGTGTACCTCTCCGCCAACCCCGCTCATCATCGGCGCACGAAGCACAACGAGCTAGATATTCACTTCGTGCGTGAGCAGGTGGCTCTCGGTCACATTCGTGTGCTCCACGTTCCCACTGCTCAGCAGTTTGCCGATGTCATGACCAAGGGGTTACCGACGTCTACCTTCGAGGAGTTCCGGTCCAGTCTATGCGTCACTAGCGACGCATCGACTGAGGGGGGGGGGGTGTTGAGATACTCATGATCACATGTACTTAGGAAGCTAGGATCTTCTTTTATTGTTTCCTAGACTACGGATATCTCCCGATCCTTTCCTTGTATAGCAGATACGGTTGAGATATTCTTGCCCTTGTACTCTATATATGCTATGACATACGATCAATGAGCATATCGCATATTCCACAGTGGTGGTAGCACACCTCGATATGGAGGCAAACTCGGACGACCGCCTTGCCGTTACCTCCAACTCATAATCTATTGTCCCCCTTAGTGGGCCATTGCCTTCTAGCTTCTTTATTAAGAGACCAAAAAAGTTGAATGGCTCAGTTTTAGCGAGCGCCGAAAGAAAGAAACCATGCTCTGCACAATAGAACGGTGGCGAGCGTATCGATCTTGATGGGAAGAGCCCGCGGCAGTGCTCACGCTTTATACTAAAGTTAATTATGCAAGACGACTGGTCAGTTAGGATGGCATTGGTCATGATATGCCCTAGTGTCACCGGTGGAAGTAAACTTGAACTCAAAATCTTGCGTCTTTCTTCTGAATTTGGGTACTGCAAATGGGCCCACCTGAGCACGAAGTCATAGACGGATTCTTCAGATGCAACCCAGGGTGATTCCTTGATAAGATGGCTACAACCCCAGCCAGAGGAATCCTCATCAATTCATCTTGGAACCTGAAATGCAACAAAACCATGTAATGCCTTGATATAATGATTTTGTGACAACAATATCCACAAGTTCACTAATAGAGCAAGAAAAGAAAAGTGTATCTCAATCCGACGGGGTTACTTACTTTGCTGACAGGAATTTCTCGTATCTTTTAGACAGGAATTTCTTGGCTGCCTCTGATAGGTCAGCTGCCATTGAAATGGAACATGGGAGATCTAAGCACCTCACTGCGGATTCAAGGGTCATAGGCTGGCCTATGAACCGCTGACTGCAAAGCTTGATGCACGAAACAACATCAAATTTGTCAGCAGCCATCAAGATATCAACCAGAAGAGTGGACTCGGTTGTTGGTCTCAGCTTTCCATTGTACATAAAGTGTAAAAGCTCCATAAAGGCATTTTCATCTGTTCCAAGTAAAAATGAAATCAAGGAGCCATAAAGATTGATGAAACATTCTAATAAATCTCAGCCAGTAACAATTAGATAAAGATAGCCCCCCACCCCGTTTCATGATTTAACTTCATGAACTTTGACCAAGTTCATATATAAAAATATCTATAATTAAAACACCACTTAAATATCATTCGATACGTCATGAGGCATAATTTTATATTGTATCTATTTGATTATTTTTTTGTGTTGACATTTCCATCAATTTATTTGGTCAAAGTTTACAAGGTTTTGAAGGGGATCCTTCGCGCAATCGTAAAGATGCTGCCTCAAGTCATGGAAACAGCCTCTTACAATGTTAGTATTATTTCTCCATGGCATTTTTTTAGAAAATTCCTTGGCAATTGTTGTTTAGTAATGTTTCCAGGACAATGTCATAGATTATATTCTGAAAAAGGCAATTATTTTGGTAAAGCGACATGGCACACTTTAAACATTTGACATGGTATTTTTTTTGAAATTTCTGTTATCTAGAACACGACAGTTTTGTTAAAATTCCTGTTTTTTTTTTTTGTAGAAGCATGGCATTTTCATTTTAAAAAGCATGGTAATTTTATTGTAGAAGCATGGCATTTTTTACATGAAGAGCATGACATTTTTTACAAGCATGACATTTTTTATTATGAAGAGCATGGCATTTTCATTTTAAAGATCATGGTATTTTTTATTGTAGAAGCATGACATTTTTTAGCATAAAGAGCATGGCATTTTTTGTACAAGCATGTCATTTTTTATTTTGTACAGCTTGGCATTTTCATTTTATACAGCATGGTATTTTAATTGTAGAAGCCACAAATGGCATGATTTTACGCCCACCGGTGGTAAGTTGCTAGATTGCCAGTGCTTACCAATGGCAGGCGCTAAAGTGCACCAATCACTAATGTGACCCCAAAGCGTTTTCCAGCAGTGAATATATGAAGGATGACACTTACCAGTGGCAGGCGCTAAAGTGCACCATTCATATTCGAGTTGTAGTCTCTTGCAATTGTCTTCTGCCTTCTATAAAAATATGATACGCCATTGACATACTCTCGAAAAAAAGTCTGTTCTGCTGCTTGTCTTGGACCTTTGAATATCACAAAAAGAGATCACGATTGCATATTCAACGTAGCAATCAAGCAAGATTCATTATTCATGTGAAAGATGTGAATAATTGATCAGCTTGTTACTTTAAACTAAGGCTGAAGCATCACACGGTAAAGAACCATAGATAACTGCCCTTAAGCAGTACGAATCTCCCCAGCCTACAGATCTATATAACATACAAATTATTCCTAATCTTTAAGTTGTCCGAAGGCTCAACTTGAACAGTATGATGTAGTTTGGGCGCCGCTGCTACATCCAAATAAATATGTGACTACAGATTTGCTGCACTTTAATTGGGGGCACAGACAACATATACTCTTTGATTACTGTTGTACTGCAAAAATTATGTCAAAGAACCTCAACTATTTAACACCTCGAAATCTAAAACTAAAAAAAAACTATGTATAGTATCGGATCCGGATATGTGCATGTAGATCGTGGGCTTAGTTTCCAGGGAGCACACATTGCAAGCAACAGACCTGACAACATTGAACTTTACATCAGCATTTTTTAGGCAATTTACAGCAGCATTCTGTCCTTGGGGCACAACATATCAACTGCCATAGAGTATGAACTAAAAAAATATCGAAAGATAGCCATGAACAGATGATCACATAATATGCATTCTAAGGGTCACAAGTCCATCGAGTCAAAGAGGTCATCAGCATTCAGCAATGTATACTAGCCAACTTACAACAAAGTGCACATTAACTGTTCAGCGACTTCGCTCGATATCAAAACTCACACGCAAACTTGACAGTTTTGCGTCTGGTAAGAGTCCGTGGCACAATGAAACCTCGAGCATCAAACTCTAGATGTTCAGAAGCTACATTGCAACATTACCAGTCACCAAAAGAGAGCAGAGCATTGTTCACCGAGTTCATATGTTAAAAGAACAGGGGCTTCTCCTCGCTCACATAAACAAAAGTGGACATGAATGAAGCACATCACGCTAGTGGCTAATGCATGCATCACTACGGCTGCAGCGTTATCTTCACATGAACTCGAATATGGAGTTTGTCATCGACAAAGAAGGGGCTATCGTCAGGAATGACCTCCGGCCAAGGAAGCCTGCATCCAAAACCTTGCCTACAACCGGTGGTGGTGGTGCGCCTCCACAAGGTGGTAAACTCCAGCGACGGTGTTGTTTTTACATCAATCTCATAATCTAATGTCCCCCTTACTAGGCCCTTGTCTTCTAGCTTCTGTATTATGAGGACAAAAGAGTTGGACGGCCCCATTCTACGGTGTGCTGAGAGAAAGAAACCATGCCCCGCACAATAGAATGGTGGCGAGCGCATCGATCCTGATGAGAAGCTCCCAGAGCAGTGCTCACGCTTTAGACTAAAGTTAATTATACAAGACGGCTGATCAATTAGGATCACATTGGTCATGCTACGCGCTAGTGGCACCATTGGAAGTAAACTTGAACTTAAAATCTTGCGTCTTTCTTCTGAATTTGGGTACTGCAAGTCGGCCCACCTGAGCACAAAGTCATAAACGGATTTTTCGGATGCAACCCCGGGGAGATTCCTTGATAAGATGGCCACAATCCCAGAGAGAGGAATTCTCATCAGTTCATCTTGGAACCTGAAATGCAACAAAACCATGCAATGCCACGATATAATGATTTTGTGACAACAATATCCACATGTTCATTAATAAAGGAAAAAAAGGTATCACGATCCGATGGGGATTACTTACTTTGTTGACAGGAATTTTTCATATCTTTTAGCAAGGAATTTCTTGGCTGCCTCTGACAGGTCAGCTGCCATTGAAATGGAACATGGGAGATCTAGGCACCTCAGTGCGGATTCTAGGGTCATAGGCAGGCCTATGAGCCGCTGACCGCAAAGCTTGGTGCATGAAACGACATCAAATTTGTCAGCAGCCATCAAGATATCAACCAGAAGAGTGGAGTCAGTTGTTGGTGTCAACCTTCCATTGTACATAAACCATAAAAGCTCCATAAAGGCATTTTCCTCTGTTCCAAGTAAGGAATGAAAGCAAGGAAGCATAAGAACAGTCCAATTTATCACAATCAGTAACAGTTAAGTAAAGGAGTACAAAAGGAAAGGGATAGCTATTGTTTTAGAGGCATGTTTCAGTAAAGTTAACCTTTCCCCCTGGCACCCCCCTTGAAAACTATGGAAAGGGTATTTGGGGTCTAGCGAATTATTAGAAATTTGATTCCTTAGACTTGGGCACTGTTTTGGGTACCGCTCGAAATTTCGTGATCCCGAGCGGTTACCGCGTTTACCGCTACCCCACGAAAAACACTCATACCGAGCAAAAAAATTCGAGTTTTTTCGAAAATTTTGAATTCAAACTCTGATCCAGTTAAATAGGGGGCATCTCTGATGTAGCAACAGACCCGGGTGGTGGCGTAGTGGCAAAGGCATGGTCTCTGGAGCTGCCAGTCGTGGGTTCGAGTCTTGAACCGCGCGTTTTCTTTCTTTTTTAAAGATTGCAAAAGAAAAAAGCTAAAAGAAAAATTCAAGCAGCGGCCAGGAATCGAACTCGAAACCTGAAAGATCGCGGCAGTGGTTTGTGCGTCTGAACAGCCACTACGCCAGGGGAGAATTACTGATCTTGGAGAGTTAAAATACTATCTATATCAAATTCGAATTATTTGAATTCAAAATTTGATTTAAAATTTCGCCCGATTTTTTTCCGGTATTTCGTGGTTACCGTGGTAACCGTGAATTTCGGTGCCCCTCGAGAAAAATGGACCGCTTGGGATCCAAAACCTTGGACTTGGGTAAACAATTTAATTCCTAATTTTAATGTGCCGGGCCTTCACGGCTAAATCCCTCGTGCATGAAACGAATTAATCCCTAGAAGTTAAGATCTCCACAGCATCCTTCCTATAAAGAGCTACGTACTCTATTTTTATATGAACGGTGAGCTACTCTGTATATACTTAGTTTGCACAATCGGCTGGTCTCTCCTCTGTATGTTTATTGGCCAGAAATAGGACCATATTGTACTCGTATATATTCATACTTCTTAGAGACGATTATTTTATACACCAATGTTACATAATATATTTTCATATTATTTAGAGACGATTTTGTACACCAATGTAGATGTAGTGAAATGATGCAGATGAATAAGAATCCTTAAATAGAGAAGAATCCTTAATTAGAGGAGAAAGCTTTCTATTCCGTCTCTTTCTCCTCTTTCGTGTTGTGGCGGGAGAATTGGCAAGCTCATACACGTTAAAATTAAGTCCTTGATGACTAGAAGAGGCCCATATAAAAGTAAGACTATAATACCCTTTGCAACTGAAGGGTACGCTTTAATCTCAGTCACTATCTAAACCGAAAGTCCATTGAGTTCCAATAATCAATTGAGGAAACTTGTCATGCACAAGAATATCCATTTGGTAGACAAATTATGTAGGGGAAATGAGAATAGCCAGTTCATTATCAAAATAGAAAGTTGTGGCACGAAACTCCAAAACAGGCCTCTCTACAATTATCACATTTCTTGAATTAACAAATAAATAATACAATCACAATAGCAAACTAGAATCTCAGTTATAATAAGACGAGGAAGAGTACATCATACACTTGAGTTACCTGAATCAGCAATTCTAACTGTTGACTGTCTCTGACCAGATTCTTTCATGCCATTTGAGAAAAGCTAAGAAGCATGAAGCTTATCAGAAATACAAGTCAACTGATTATAGACCAAATGCATTTCAGAAGATCATCATAATTACCTTGAAAAAGAAAGAACTTTTTGCGGCGAGAATCACCGAACTGATATGTATGGTCTTGACTCGTAAAACTGGTGTACTACCTTCTCCATCATCACCTGCGAAATACAGGTCAGATGAATCTAGAGAAACATTCAAAACTAGGGGAGAAGAAGGCACATAAGATAACTACTAGACAAGATTTTTGCTGTTAAAAATATCTGGAATATCATGTTCGCTGTGTGTGCAGATTCATTGAATCAACCTTCAGATAGGCGGGAAAATTTTAAGCATCATGAAAACTGGATATTCACTGAGTTGCATCAAGCCTAATAAGCATGCTACATTAATAATGAATGTTACCCCAAGGATTCTATTAGAATTTTCTATAAATGAACACTATTAACAAAGGTAAAAGATCAGGCCACAATTATATGCCCGGTAAACAGTATGTTGCTTGTATTTACTAATAGGCAGCTAAGTTCATCAATGGATTGTACCATTACATTACCAACAGTCTGTACTACAGTCCACATGTGTTCGTACTTGGTACTAATTAAAAGTGATTGTCAAAAGGCTAATTTTGACATTAGATGTTTCAACAACAACAAAAGAGAAGTAGAGGTGAACCAGAAACAGAACACAAACTAATGATGATCTCAATTTTTTTTAGAGAAAAGGCATCAACCGAGCCTGAGATGGGGGTCGAGCCTAGCCCGACATTGAATTAACAAAGCCATCAACCGGCCAGGATTACAAGCACATGTCCTTAGGCAAAAGAAAGAACAACACGACAGAGGGATACAAAAGCCGATGGACAACACAAAACTAAGGCCCAGTTCTTTTGGCCGATTCTCCCAGAATCTTGAGAATCAAATCTTCACCCAAATTCTCACAACCTATTTTTTTTGACAATACTACTTGTTTACATACCAACTAGCTAGGATTGTAAAAAATATATGTGTTCAAGATTTTGGGAGAAGCTAGGGGGAGGTCCGATTCTCAAGATTCTGGGAGAATCGGCCAAAAGAACTGGGCTTAAGCCTCACACACTACAGAAACTGAAGATGATCAAATGAGACCGAAGCCGAAGACGCCGAGGCCCACCTCCGAGAATGTTGTACTAGGCACAGGATCACACTAGCTCGTAGGAGAGAGGGGCCGACACCAATGGGGCATGCCATCGCCATGCACCTACGAGCCCTGGCACGACACCTCCAGTACACCATCTTCGAAGGAGGCCATTACCTCCTCGCCTGGATCGAAGGCGCCGGACGTTGCAAGATGGCATGGATGCCGCCGGAAGATGACCATGTAGAGAGGGTCAATGCATCCCCAACGAGACGTCGGAGACTCTCCTTGAGCAGAACACCGCCGCTGCACACATCTAACACCAGAGGGGGGAAGTTTCAAGCTGGGATAAGAGGGCCACACCACCGCCGCCACCACCAACCACCCACAAGCGCCACCTGACCACAAGGTTCCCAAAAGCGGCGCCTTCAAGAAGGGAATGGCGCTGAGAGCGCCGCCACCGCCCCAAAGTTAGGGCTTTCGCCCAGGAGACCTAGGGGGAGGGGGATTGAGGGGATCAGTCCATACCGACGCCTCCAAGGAGGGGAATGGCGCCCCGGGCATCGCCGTCGACCTGGCCAGCCACGGCTAGCCAGGGATTTCGCCCGAACTTAGTCCCCACCACCACCAGCACCTCCTGCCCGGGGCCAACGACCAGAGAAGCACGACCTGACCAGGAAGTGCGCACGCATGCTGAACACTGGAGGAGGGGAGCGCGAGATCTCGCGGACCGTCCGCTGCAGGAGCCGCTACCGACCGCCCTCGACCTCCGGGGTCCCGTCGTCCGCGCGGCCAGGACACCGGATCCACCACCGCTCACCGCAGAGCCGACAGTGCCTCGCCATAGGAGCTGCTGCTGTAGATCCAGAGCCCCCGCGCGGATCCAGGGCGGCAGAAGACCCCACCGCCACCATCCTTGGCAGCGCCTATGGCTTGCCCGGCAACTGCATCAAGCGCTGGCGAGAAAGGATAGACGAAGAGGGGCAGCCGGCGGCGCGACTAGGGTTCGCCGCCCGAGTCGCCCGAGCGGGGCGGCGCGATGATCTAAAATTTGGAACAGTAAGCAGAATTACCAAGAGTTCTAGTGACTTAGGGAGGTCCTCCCTTCACACCTCCACGCTACATATATCAAGGGTGACACCAGCTCATGTAATCATGAAAAAACATATACCAGAGAACTTGGAACGGCTCGAGATCCAAAACTAAAGACCTTATCGGGTGTATTAAGGTAGGATAACAGTGTACCTCCTTGCCCATATAAGGCAGAAAAGAGAAAATCCAACACAAATCCAGATCGTAATGGCGTGAAAGAAGATAAATTAACATTCACGAGGGAGAAATTGCACAGCGAAAGGAAGGCGCATATAACGATATGATGCAGGCAGGTGCTTAGATCAGTGTGGTGCCTAGACGAATCTACTGCGAATATTCTAATGGCTAATGGTACTACTGTGACTGTACGTACGCACCTTCACGGCGGCGCTTCCGGCCAGCGCCGACGACCTCTATCCGCAGGACCCTGTCGGAGAAGGCCTCGTTGTCGAAGGCGAACTCGAAGCCCCCCGCGTCCACCTCCGCCTCCCTCGCCGTCTCCGGCCCCGGCGCAGCCCCCGATGACGCGTCGCCTCCGGCCATGCGCGTGCGTCGCCGCCTCCACCACCCCTGCCCCTCACGGAGCGCCGGTGGCCGTAACCCTAGCTAGCTGGCACGGCGGCGGAGGAAGAAGGGACATGCGACTCTAATACCGAGGCGGTGCGCCGGTGTGGGGTTGATCTTTCGCACGAAGGGACCAAAAGTTCAAACGAAATTTTGACCAAGTCTCTGAAAGTTTGGTGGGTACCAAAATGTTTGTAAGCTCGAAATTTTGGGACGGAATCAAATCAAATTCAAATTCAGCGAAGATCCATGAAAACTAAGTGAATTTAATAGATCGAACTTCAAAAGAATTTTTTCATACTTTCGGAATTCGGATATTTTGGTAAGGTCTACATTTTTGTCTGTCACTAATGTTTAAACCTTCGGAATGACCAGTGAGCTCGATTTTTCTTCTGGATTTTAGGGTAGCAAAAAATACAAATGAATACATGGTATGCGAAAACTTTACTTCCTCCGTTCTCATATTACAATGCACATTGGTTTCACAAAAGGCAAACACTCACAAACTTTAACTTAGTATATAACATACGAAAATAGATTTCATAATAAATTCAATGACGATCGGCTACAACTAAGTGAATTTTAATAGATTGAACTCTGAAAGAATATTTTTCGATCTTTCAGAGTTTGATATTTTGGTAAGGTCTAAATTTTTGTCTGTTGATAAAGTTTAACCTTCGCCAACGAGTTTGTTTTTTCTTTTGGATTTTAGGGTAACAAGAAGTACATGTGAATACATGATACTTGAAAATGCCCCTCCCATCTCATAGTATATATTGGTTTTCACAAAAGTCAAACTTCACAAACTTTAACCAAATTTATACGTATATGAAAATATTTGTCGAAAAATCTAGTACTAAAATACATCTATATACATCCATGTCTCCGACAAGTATTTCCGAAAGGAGGCACTATATACTATGTGAAAATAGATTTCATGATGAATCTAATGGTATCGATTTGGTAGTTGGATGTTGATAATCCTTTCTATAAACTTAAGTTTCACTTTAGAAAATCTAATACACACTATATTTTGGTACGGAGAGAGTATTATACAAGCACTTGGGAGTCTAGGTCAACCATTCCCACGCGCCATTGGTTGATACCCATCCCGCGTAGACCTTGGCACACCGGTTGGACCCTTAGTTGAGAGCACTCGTGCTTGTCTTAGCGGGAGTTTTGTTGCCCACATGGCCGGAGCAAAACTTCCATGTGAGACTATGCCACCACATCCCTTGAATTTTGTGCACGAGACACTCGGAGCTCTTGCCTTCATTTGGAAGCAGGGCTCATTACCACCACAATAACGATCGAAGACAATGGTGGCCAGAAGGACCGCAAGGGGAAGGGATCCCTTATCGGTGGTAAGGTTAGGGTTCTGTGGTCACACAAAGAGAGCGACACAGGAGCTCGAGGTTCTCAATGAAATGTTAGTTTTTCTACAACACTAACTTAATTTGAGGCGACAAGGTCGTAAACAAGGTCGAGATCTATGGTTGCCTTCCATTCTAAGACATGCTTAACTCCAAGGCCAACATGCAACATAAACACATCACTCTTGAATAACAATTGCTCGTGCATCAGTCACCCCTTGGAACATCAAGCGCGTCTTCCGCTCTTAACTGTACTCCAAGAGCCATCAGAATTTGGAAAGATCTTGCCATTAATCTAGGCTCACCAAGATGGTCGTCGTAAGTGTGCCATTTCATATTTGAATTCAAATGATAAAGAATCAATTAAGGTATTGGCATTGGCTACTAAAGGGTAAAAGCAACAAGACGGGTCAATCAAGTGTCAAATCTGAAGAGAAGAAGTTGAGAGTGCACAAGGTCAAAAACATGCCATTACTTAAAACAGAATCACAACCGAGGCGCCCATTTGTTTTATCAATTTGGAAAAATAAGAATTTGCAAAATTTGAGTGCACAAGAGTTGAAAAGGAGGAACATGGCATGGGTTCCTAAAGGAAGTACTCAAAACAAGAATGATGTGCAAGCTTTTATTGCTGCTACTTGTGAGCCGCGTTGGGATTTCCTCAAAGAGGAGAGCATGATGCAGTACAGTAGAGATAAGTATTTCCCTTAGTTATGAAATCAAGGTTATCAATCTAGTAAGAGAACAAAGCAATATTATGTAAAAAAACACCTGCACACAAATTACAAATACTTGCAACCCAACGCGTAGAGCGTTGACAATCCCTCAACGGTTATGAGTAAAATTAAATTGTATAGGTTTTGATAGATAGATCTGACAAAAATACAAAATAAAATAAATAAAATAAAATTATAGCAAGGTTTTTTTGTTTTAATATATGATAGAAAATAGACCCGGGGCCCATAGTTTTCACTAGAGGCCTCTCTCATAAAAATAGCATCAGGTGGGTAGACAAATTACTGTTGGTCAATTGACAGAAAAGCAAATAATTATGACGATATCCAAGGCAATGATCATGCATATAAGCATCACGCCTGCATCTACTACTATTACTCTACAGGTCGACCGCTATCCAGCATGTATCTAGTGTATTAAGTTCATGGAAAAATGAAGTAACATCTTAAGCAAGATAACATGATGTAGACAAGATAAACTCACGCATGAAATAAATCTCATCTTATTACCCTTAATATCAACGATACATGCGTGTCATGTCCCTTTGTGTCACTGAGATTGAGAACCGCAAGATCAAACCCATCACAAAGCACCTCTTCCCATGGTAAGAAAAACCAATCTAGTTTGTCAAACCAAACCAATAAATCAAAGAAGAAATACAAGGCTATAACAATCATGCATAAAAGAGTTCTGAGGAAACTCAAATAATAGTCATGGATAGATGTGATCATAAGCTCACAATTCTTCGGATCCCAACAACCATACCGCAAAAAGTCATTACATTAAATAGATCTCCAAGAACACTAAGGAGAACATTGTATTTTAGATCAAAAAAGAGAAGAAGCCATCTAGATACTAACTATGGACCCATAGGTCCATGGTAAACTACTCACGCATCATCAGAGGGGTGGCAAGCATGATGAAGAACCCCTCTATGATCGTTTCCCCCTCCGGCAGAGTGCCGGAAAAGGCCTCTAGATGAGATCTCGTGGTTCTGAAACTTGCGGCGGTGGAAAAAGTATTTCGTGGACTCCCTGGTAGGTTTTCTGATTTTAGAGTATTTATAGAGGCGGAGTTAGCTCAAACAGAGGCTTGTGGGCCCACTAGGTACCAGGGCGCACCAGAGGCCCTGGCGTGCCCTGGTGCCTAGTGGGCCACTTCTTCATCTTCTCTTTCCCTCCCGAAGCTTCCAGGGTCTCTTATTGCCAGTAAAAAATCTCCAAAAAGTTTCGTGGCATTTGGAATTCGTTTGGTACTGATATTCTGTAAAGTCAAAAACAAGCAAAAAACATCAACATGCACTGGGCACTAAGTTAATAGGTTAGTCCTAAAAAATGATATAAAGTTGCTTGTAAATGTATATAAAACATCCAAAATTGATAATATAATAGCATGGAACAATGAAAAATTATAGATACGTTGGAGACGTATTAACTGCAAAAAGTGTGGCAAATGTGAAGAAAGAAAAGAGTGGAAACTATGAATAACTAAGCCGAAGGTTTGCATCCACACATCGAAATCTTTGGTTCACACATCAGCCATATTATTCAACTATGTCATTGATGCCTATGACATGGAATTCATCTTCAAGTATTATTAGTTACTCTCTGTGGCTTATTTATATGCATGGAAGCAATATAATTTCATACATCACGAGAGCAAATCACTATACATTCGATTAGCTGCACATTTGTTGCTAATTTAAATGGATGATACATGATTATCGCCCTAAGAGTAGAAATGGCCGATATATACTTATCACCCTAAGCACATGCAAAATGACTAATCGAGTGTTGAGATAGTTCTTAGAACAAACTTTGTGAAAGTTATTTTTCGGCACACAATCTTTGCCAAAAAATAGGGAGCGTGTGTTGGCACCAGTTTTTGGCATGACAGAAAAGATAATTTTGATGACCTCAAAGGAAAAAAGATTTCAACGTGAAAAATCGTCGTACCGTCACAATGGGGAACTTTGATATTTGGGTAATCTCCATCCAAGGTTGTATGCAACCTTAAGGGCCAAAATAGTGTGTGCTAAAAACTAGAGGTACAACATTGTTTACTATTGTGCACGCCCCAATTCACCCCAAAGATGACCTCAGAATGAAAAGTGTACAACGGGAAAATTGTTCCTCTCGTCGAGTTGACCAAATGTTCTTTTGGGACCATCTTCATCCAAGTCATATGCAACGTGAACGAGTCATCTGAGGAAGCTACTTTGTACATATTGAGTTTGGAAGTTTCGGGCAGAACTTCTAGGAGGTTTCGAGGTAAACAGAGACATTGCACCCAGTGCGTGCAGAAAATAGGGTTTCCAATATTTTTACAGATTTGCGGGACCAAATGCATCCTCAAGACGACCTCAGATGGAACAGTTCTCAACATAAGAACTCTTCGTCTTTTCAATACAACGCAAGTTTGCTTTTTGGACTATCTCGATCCAGCATCATATGTGAGCTGCAAAATTGGCACAACGGGGCTACTTTATACACGCTGAGCCCGGAATTTCCAGTCCTACCAATGTGAGTTAGGGTTAAAATTGACCTTTTAGATGAGATTTGAGTCCTTTCCTATATGTGAAGTCCAGCCACGTCATATATAGATGAGAGGTGACGGCCGATTGAACAACACACAATCGATCAATCCACCTATCACTTTTAACTTTACCTTTTCTTTCTCCCTTGTTCCTTTTCTACCTCATTCTTTGTTCTTTCTTCGTGTTGGAGGGTAGCGATCCACGAGGCCCTATGGAGATTAGATAGACCTAGGGCATCCCATAGCTGCCCCGCCCTGACGGTGTCCCTCCCGTGTGTGGGGGGGTTTGGGTCCTCATAATTTGAAGATAAAATTATCTGTAATAGTTTTGAGATA